CTACTTGTACTTTCTTCTCCCAAAAGTTTACTGACAAGTAGCAAGTAATATTTTTCCAAAAGCTAGATTCAAAAGAAGGACCATTTATAAATCCCTTTCTTCCCAGTACAGTCACAAGAACAGCAATAGAAACAGTCATCCAATACCAAGCTGGAAGCAAAGAGAAAGTGCTAGTGAAACAAGCAGTGATGATGGCATCAACAGAAAAAGACAGGATGTAGTAACATTATGAAGTGACTTTATGACATAAAAAGCCACATCTTGCATGACAGTAGAGAGCCAATGACCTAACTCCCAAATATTGCAGGAAGTCTGTCAGCATGCTCAGTTAAACACATCTAGCCATCCTCAAAAGTAGTCTCAAGTATGACAGCTTACCATAAAGCAGGAGCTACCACTTAAAACAAGTTATCATAAATGCCATAATTTAAAGCACAAGAAGGGGCTCATGTTTGAGCTATTACTCAGATCAGACTTTGTCTCCCTTGTGTATGTCGTGCTGGCAGAGCACACCCATGGGACAGGCTAGGGTGGTGGAATATTTTTGTGGACAAGGGCGCCGTGTATATTTGTATATTCGAAGGGACAATGAGTCTGTTTGGGCACAGAGCAGGAGATGGGGTGTAAGGAGACCACCTCCTCTGTGGAAAATCCTGGACGTATGCTGTGGCACCAGTGGGAGACCTGTACTTGGGTCAGTGCTGAACCCTGGCAGAAAACCCCACTATGGAAGTCCTGCAATACTGGGGGCAGTTGCAGAGTCCTCCCATAGTAAGGATTGGGACCAGCTGAAACCTGCTGGCCGAAGGGGAAAGGCACTGCTGTTGGCTTGTAAAACTGCTATAGGAGCTGCAGGAACGTGCGGAGGAATTAACTAAACAAGTGAGAGAGTAACATGCTACAGCAGTAACACAGGCATTGCTTACTGACACAAAACAACATGAGGAGTTGGCGGAGAAACGTGCCAACTTAGCCCCCACTTTCCAGTGCGTGCGGCACCTCAGCGCTGCCCGCCCTGCCCGCAGGAAATGGGGCTGAGGGACCAGGCACTGGTGACAAGGCCACAGTGTAATCCCAAGAACTGGGATGGGAACATTTGGGATAATAGTGAGTCAGGGGACTTAGATAATGGTTTGAAAACAGAGAGGTGTGGGAGGGGGCAGATGTGCAGCCCCAGTTGTTCTCCAAGAAGCAGTTCAGGTGCCATTTACTGGCCAGTCTGTAAGGAGGAGACATTCTCCACCTTGGATTGGAGGTGCAGGTGAGGGCACATTATGGGGTTGTAGGCAGCAGACCTGTAGCAAAGAAAGCAGTGTGAATTTCAAGTTTTCTTGTCTTCCTTTTAACAGAATCTGTTTTTAAGTGTGGTTATTTTTTCCAAGATATCAAGAAGCCTGCTTTCTTTTTTGCTGCCCCTCTAATCTCTCTTGCACCTGTCCAGGAATTTCATCTTTAGCAAAAGCCCCTGGCTGTGATAGCTGCAGGACTATGAAGCACAAGGAGCATACAGAGATCATACACGATGCACACGAGTTCATACAGTATGAACTGCAGAGCTACAGCAGACAAGCTGTTCAATAAAACAGGAATTGTTACTTGCTGTCAAAATACACAAATTAGTTTAGAATATTCCTTAGTAGACATTTGCAGGAGGGATATAAGCCATATAATCAGTGTACTGTTATACCACATGCTGAAGAACAGGCTCTTTGATACACAAACAGTGAAACACAGCTAGTCTCTAAAAAAATCCTGATCTTACTCAAGAACACCTTGCTTGGTTATGGAACAGATAAAATTAATTGAATGCTGCATGCATTAGTTGTTCTACAGCTGGTTTTAACAACCTCTGCAAACTAGATGTCAAGTGGCTTGCTGGGGGGTAGAAAGGGAAAAGGCAATGGCAAGGTCACCTTATTTTGGCTGTTGTTACCTGTCTTCAAGTACACGTGGACCAAGAGATGACTCCATGAAGATGGAATCTTCTACAGAGCTGACGGCGTGCACCTGCTGCATAATATTGCTCTCCTCGTCTGCTAACAGCATGGCCCCCAACTCAGCTATGTAGGGTCTGAACCTTTTTATACACACGCACAGTTTGCAGTTCACAGCACATCCCAGTAACAGAGCAAGTGTCTGAAACGTGCTCAAACAACAAAGCCCAGAGAATTTACAAGTTTTAGCCACCTAGCCCCTGACTCTTGTGCAGTTGTTAAAAACTTCGCACTTCGGGAAAAACAGAAATAAATTCAGTCGGTACTTCTGATAAGCTAAGTAAAAAATTACTATTTTATATAGCTAAATGCCACTGTTTAAAGGACAAAGAAAACAGCTTAAGAAACTGAACCTCTTCCCACTCCATCTCCAAAGCTTGAACTTTCAGGTTACGACAATACTCCTGGCACCACATGCACGAGCTAGAGCACCTGTGCTAAACACACTGGAATGACTCCAACACATCAGCCCTAAAACTGACAAGATCTCATTACTGTTAATAATTCAATTGAAAACTGTACTGTATCACTACTAGGAGCTTTTTTTTTTTCCCTAGTAAATGACTATAAAACACTTGTATTCAGATCTGTCAATTATAAACATCATCAGTGGATGTAAAATAAATCACTTGTAGGTAACATGATTTTAAAAGATTATGTGACAAGTGCTGTTGAGTGTGTATTTGTGTAACTAACGTTGAACTCTCAAGTTTAATGTGGTTAATTCAAATGCCCAACTATTTGTCTAATTTTAAAACAATCCCTTTAAAAGTGTCAATCAGTTCAAATTGCATATGAATGCTTTTGCATTGCCTCATAAAGCTCTCTCAACATTGAGATTTTCTGATTCCTGTCTATAATTTGCCTTGTTTTGACTTTTCATATGTCCATATTTAATGGTATGCAAGAAACTTGCTGAGCATGCTTCAGCCTTTTAAAAAAATATATTCTCGGTCATTATAAAATCCTCTTCTCATATCTAAAGGGAGGGTAAATTGACTCTGATCCCTTTTCTAAGCCTACGACTAACTCATTCTTTCATTTAAATCAAGGCAGGGATTGGTCTTATAACCTCAAGGAAATCTACCAACTTCAGTAAGAAACAATGAGGACCATCTGAACATCTCGGCCCAAAAATCCAAGTTCCAAAAATACTTACTGAAATCCAGAACCTCATGGATGACTAATTGCTTTAGACCATTAAAAAATTCAAATTTTTCTTCCTTAAATGTTCCTTATGCTGCAATAAACTCCATTTTTCTAACTTTGAGCCCTATTTTTTTTAACTGGCCTTAAAGGGGAAAAAAAATAAATCTGTCTGAAACAATAAAAAAGGATCAATGTTCATTTCCAGCACAGGTTCTTTGACATAAAGGTGGCTATAATGCAGAAAAACCTTTCCCAATACACACAAAAAAATTCTACTGCTTCAATAAATAATGTTCACATTTAATTTCAGTGTGGTTTGGTTTATGAAACTGATTTTCACCACTGCTACAAATTATTAATGCCTTGTAGTAAGAAAGTAACTCTGAGTTAGAAAAACTACTCTGAGAGTTAAATTTATGTGTGGATGGGCACATATACACACAGAGCAGTAGTTAGAACTCCATGAATGAAACTGTATTTGAAACTCTTTCTTATTAGTAATAATAACTAGCTTTCAGACTTCCCAGATTGGTGTGTATTTAATTATAGAATAAGTTCTACACACGTAAGAAAATCTAGAATTTTTTTACTTTGGCATAAAATTCAGATTTTTATGCAGGTTTTGGAAAAAAAAAATATTTTTATTCAATGTACCCTTAAGAGTGAGTCAAGCAACTAGTAACTTATTGCATAAGCTCTTTGGAACCTGTACAGTCTTCCAAGTGGCTTTAACAACTCAAAAGAAGTTTGCAACATGCACTACAGAGGTTAACTGAGCATGCCTGTCATGGTTACACAGAGCTGCTGAGCTACGGGCCAGTACAGACACTTCTCCCCATGTCAGCAGCAAGGGAATCCCAGCTCTGGGAAGGTTTAACCTTAACTACAGAAGTTCAGAAACATTTCTCTATTAACTACACAAAAGGATTTTAAAAGCAGAGAGGTGAGGCCAACAGGCTGGTCACGAGGCTACTCACACTGAAGTTACAAGCAAGTGAATGCAGCCAGCAAGCAGCAGCAGCCTGCTCCCACAGACAGGAGGTTCTAACAACACAATGTAAGCAACTGAATTCCAAAAACACCACGTAACTCCCTTCAGGCACGTATTTTTCTAGGATGTAAAGCATCTCCAGCAGTTAGAATTTGCCCCCATGCATTTGTCATCTAAAATGTGAGAAACTCCCAAGTGCAGTCTTGTTATCTACAAAACCTAAGTGGCAATTCAACATCTTCTCTTTGGAAAGAAATCAGGGGACACAGCTTTGCAAACTTCTACTCAGTATGGGGAATAAAACAGCTCAGAGAAGGGGGAAAAAGCGAAGTAAAATATTGTTATATGGTCTTAATTTGGGGGATACCTAAGTATAGAGATAAATTTCTGCTATTTAATTGCAGAACTGCAAATTTAATGGCAATATACTATAGCTTTGAAAAATAATGTGTGTACACTGCACATAGTGAATAATAAATCCTGAGTTAATACTCTTAAAACTTACCCATTATTATGGAAAAATAAAACTGTTGTCTTAATTTCAGAGGGAAGGTTTTCATAGAAAAAAAAAGTATCTTACAAATAACTCCTGAAACAACCACATTTTATATACAATTAGAACTTCACTTCTACAATATTTTAAAACTTTAGAAGAAAGAAAAAACATGTTCTGAGGTATCTTCCTCATTGAGCACCACAATTCTCATGCATTAGAATTTGGAAGTGAACTTAGCTGACAAAAAAATGGCACTACAGTACAAGCAAAAGCCAACAAGTGAATGACTAAAAACCAAGAAAGCAGAAAAACACACAAATTTATGCTTTATAGTAAAACATTCAGGCTCATCATTAAATAAATGGTTAGAATGACATAAGCAGAAGCCTTTAATAAGAGAGGTAAAAAAATGTAGCATAAAGAGTTTAAGTGCCAGCCAGACAAATACAAATGAATACCTAAAGAACAAATTAAAAATATAAAAATAATACAGGACAGTAACAAGCCTCATACATGCATGTATATACTGCTTTGAATTGAGTGCTTTCTTCCTCAAAGAACCAATGAAGTGTGATACTGGGTAGTTCAAACCAACAATCCTGTTCCCGCACAGTAAAATTCTCCAAACTGAACTTCCACAAAGCCCGAGGCCAGTCTCTGAAGTTTGTCGGCAGAAGAGCAGTGGAAGGTGCTGTGCTGGTTTGGGGGGATTTTTGGTAGAGGGGGAAGGGCCCCAGGAGTGGCTCCTGTAACAAGCTGAGAAGCTGCCCCTCCTCCAAACCCAGCCAAGGAGACATCAGAGGGGCAATAGCTGCCATTAACATACGAAAGAACTGAGGTAAGAGCTGAGCAGAACCAGTAGTTAAGTTATGAGCTGAGGTGGAGAGGTGAAATGCAGTGCTAGGGTGAAGATCCGGATGGTTGGTGAGGAGGAAGGAGAAGAAGGTGCCCAAGCAGAAGTTTCTCTGCAGCCCATGGCGGCTGTCCGCCTGCACCCATGGAGGAACGTGGTGGAACATTCCCTGGGGGCACCACGAGGGGTGATCTTGGATTTTGTGGCCAGTGGACTCTGATTATGCAGCTGTGGAAGCCCCCGGGCCAGGGGAGGTGCCCGAACAGCCTGTGACTCTGTGGACCTGGTGGGAATGACTCATGGAGGAGTTGGTGGAGGACTCTGCATGGGAGGGACCCCGTGGGGAAGCAGGGGAGGACTGTGAGGAATCCTCCTCCATGAGCAGGAGGGAGTGGCTGAGTTACTACAAAGAGATTCTAGCAAGTAAGCTTTCCTTTCTGCAGGGTCAGTGGAAGAGTCTACGATTAGTTCTCCTTACCTTGAATTACAGATTTTATTAGGCACCAGTAGATCCCTATGTTTATTCCACACTATCTAGTGACAAGGTGTGGCATGACAGCATCCCAAATCTCATAAAAATAATTCAGTATCTCAAGCCCTTGAGAGTGTTTCAGAGGAATGAAAAACAGCACAAGGCCATACAGGTGAGTGCCACAACAGCTTCTGTAGCAACCCATAACCATCCAATATTGAAGAGCTGGACATTTCTAGAAGTGACTGCTGAATCAAGTTTCAGAGGGACAATATGCAAAGAGATGGCTCTCTGAAGGGGTTTTTGTCTAAGGGATCACTGCTGTAGAAAAGATGCAGGATGAACAGTCTCACTCATATTCAGTGTCCTTTCCTAAGCTAATGAGTTTTTCAACCTCCTCTGAACTCTCACTCTGTGGTTAACACTTCTGATCTTAGATTACAGTGGTATTTCACAAAGATGACCAATGCTGTAGGTGGGTGTATCAGTAAGCTTCTTATATGCGTCTAACTTGCATTTAAAGGAGGCAGCCACTCTTATTTAGTTAGAGCAGCTACATCTGAAAACAGTAAAAAGTACTAATATACATGGACCAGCACAGCAGTGTTTCAGGACATGCTAACAATAGTCTTTAAATAAACATGTTAATCATAGTCATCTCCACGAATCAAAATTACCATCTAAGCCTCCAAGAGGGCTATAAATCTTGGAACCACTGCACTACAACAGTTGTTGGGTTTGAACTTCCATGTGCTGGGGTGCAATGACAAGTGCTGAGGTGTTAGTGAGTCCTGTGATGACAACAGCCTGCAGTGCACACAAGACAAGGTACAGTCCTGTTGTCAATGCTGAAAACAAGTTCTCTCTCTTTACCAATTGTTTTCCAAAGTATCTGCAAACGCAATTGCTTAACCATTTACCAATTCTTACATGTTGCATTCAATTCAGAGAGGAACTGGATGTTAAAAGCTCTAGTTTTGTTGGTCAGGGTTTTTTTACCCCCTTTGTGCAAATCAAGCATAACACACACACACACAAATTCTATGAATTCCCAAATATTAACTAGCAGTCAACAAACATGTTATACAATGCTGCTAGAAGTTAAGCTGTACCTTTAGGAAAATATTTGTGTAACTGATACTGGAGAGGTACTACCTCTAATCTACATAAACCTATAATGTCTCAAGTGAGACATGTTACACATATTTATAGACACCTCTTAATGTCCATCATTAGTTCCCTGAAAACACAGGCTACTTCCTCCACAGTATTTTTGCAATCACTAAGTGCCTGAATTAACTACCAAATCTAATATTTCAAAGAAATCACTGGACTAAGCTTGAAAGACCGAAAGTACCTTCAAGTTAAAGTCTGACAATTCTATGACTGTTATTAATTATTTGCCTATTTAGTGGCTATGGAGTGAAAAATCTGCAGTATATAAGGTTACCAATTGCTTTTTCAAAAAAAACCCTTTAATTTAAAAGCACACCTGGGTACCTAGTAAATAAAGTTAAGGACCTGTTAAGAACTGCAGTGAAGAGTTTGTTCTTTACAGATTGTAGCAAGTCTGAGTTGAGGAAGTTCTTACAGATGCAAAATGTGCACCTGTTGCAGGCGCACATACAGCGTAACCGGGCATGGCTGCGAAAACACACAGAAGGACAGGAGTTGAAATCTTGCTCATAAAATCAGGTGCACATTAGGACTTTGCCACAACCAAGAGAGGTTTAGGAATAAAAGGTACATTTGAATGAGTAAGGAGAGGAGAAAAAAAATACACTGGGTTAGCCGGGATACAACTACAGCTGTGCAGAATTTTAAGGTCAGATGTTCGACATCTTGGGTATTTTGGCACCATACACAGATCTTAACAGGAAAGCACAAATAGGCATGAAAACGTTTGCTGAATTTATTTTAGTTTGTAAGGAAAGCCTCTAAGGGCTCTTGAGTATGTCTGCACAGCCATAGGTAACACCCCTTTTTAAAAGGAAAGGGAAGCCACGTTGTCTACCACTTGGAATGCACACTTTACAAAGTGACAGTTCCCTCTACTTTTCCCACCCTAACAAACCCACATGCTTGAAAACTAAGGGAGAAGCAGGAACACTGATATGACAAGACATTTGGTCAGTGCTACACTTTAGTGTTTCCCTGTACTTCAGTGCTATAAAATAAATACAGGAGAACAAAAACAAAATAAAAGCTTTACAAATCTAATTAAATAAATTCAGTTTCAAGTATTAGTTTTAAAATCCTACTACTTTGGGTGAAAGTGACATTACTTCTATTTAATTTAAAGCAAATGTCAGCTGTCATACTAGACTCCCATCTGCTGTAATAGTTACGTAGTTCATCACCATATTAAAAGCTCCACCCACCAAAAAAAGGGATGCAAAGTGAGTTTAGCAACAGTGAGATGTGTAGTGAAGAACGTGAGCTTAAGTATCTTCTACCTGAAGCCCAAAAGGTGTTTATATATTTTTAATAGAATTTCTATAAGATAATTCATGAACTGAATGGTAATACACAGTAATAAACACCCTGAAAATAAAAAAGCTTCAAGCAGTGAGTTGGCAGAACTCTGGTTTACTAAGGAGTGTCATTACTTGTGATCAACTATCAAACTGAGCTTGCAACAAGGATTGCAGTACAACTTTTATTCACAAGTATCTCAAAAATACCCAAGATATGAATACTGACTTACTGAGTGCATCCACAGGAAGCACTTGAGAGAACCCTAAATATTAATTGGAGTTTGTAACACCAGGTAGATGGAGTAGTGTAAATACCTTGGCAACTACAGCTGACACTGGTATGTTAACACCAACTCTCCTGATTTGAAATAAATTGAAGATTCTTCTCAAGTCACTTCTATCTCTCTGTTGCTAAATCCCAGTGAGGCAGTTCCATCCTCGTGGCTAACAATGACATGCAGTGGTACTGAGTGTGAACCATGCAACATGAGAAGTAGAGCAGCTTAAATACTTACGGATACATGGCCATAGTTGTCAGTTTAACAAAGATATCCTTGCTGGGCTCACCAACAGTATCACAAGTGAAGGCTTGTGCTGCAAATTCAATGAAAAGAAGTGAAAGAAAGCATGTATGATACATTCAGTTTGGAACAGCCAGAGTTGAACTGATTGCAGCAGCATTAAGATATATTCATTGCACTGAAGTCAGGAATTTCTTGAAGCAAAATGTTTTATATAGGCAAGTATATGCTACTTTTGCATCAATAATAGAACTGCATTTTTAATCCATCACTCATATGTAACCAGCACTCATAAATAAAAAATCTTTTAACTAGAACTTCTGTACAGGACCAGTAACTTATTGTCAGTGAAGAAAGATACGTAAACCCAAAGGCTTGTCTATACAAGCTATACAAACCTTAAAAATTGTGGCACAGTACTCAAAGGACTTGGGGTTACTGACATCATACACCAGACAGACAGCATCACATATGGTCTCAGCATCAGTTACAAATTCAGAGTCACTAACATTATGTAGCTAGAAAAAAAGATGGTCAGAGAGGAAGAAAAGCTTTGTCATTATGCAGTTAGAAAAATTTTATAACTTTCTTTTTCTTGTAATTTTTCTGGCTCATTTTTATCCTTAGGAATAATGGACTGACAATAGACAGAGTTAATGAAATAGTAGGAATTTACCATACAGCAACCATGTGAGGTGTTAACATCACATCTGCAGGCGATCAAAACCTCACCATAAAAAGTTTTATTTACTTCTAACCCAAAGTCAAGATTCCCACCAAAAGTGGTGCTCAAACTACAGAGGAGAACCACAGAGTAGTAGAGGACTAGATCTTTGAAAACAAAGAAAGGTATCATATTATCATAAAAGAAAACTACAGTGGAGCAAACTATAAAGAAAGTATTTCACCCACTGAAGATAAACTTTAGCCATCCGAATCACCCTACATGACAGATTCTTCTCTACTGAATAGGCATCTTGCCTGCTGATAACATATGTTATAATCTGATGCCCTGCAGCATAAACGTAATGCCCTGGGTTCTGTGCAATTTAGGTCAAGGTTTCAAAGAGCAGATCCTGAACAGGCTCAGTTTAAAACATATGTTATAATCTGATGCCCTGCAGCATAAACATAATGGCCTGGGTTCTGTGGCATTTAGGTCAAGGTTTCAAAGAGAGCAGATCCTGAACAGGCTCAGTTTAAAGTATTAGCAACATGTAAAACCAGAAGTTTTGTGAGCCAGAAAAGGATGGAGAATCCACATTTATTAAGAAGAAACAATTAAAACAGTTTGCAGAAAGCTCTGAATAATTCACTGAATTTTAAGATTAACCAGTCACATGCAAACAAAAATGAGGCAACCTTACCAGCAAGTATTTTTCCTGCCCATATACATAGACTGTATTAATGGCATAGTAAGATTTGTGCTCTGCACGTATTTGCCTCTGTCTCTGAAAATGCAGAATTTCGTGTTAGACCACAGCAACTTGCAACTTTAATTTACATTTGAACAGCTGTTTTACTCCACTTATAAGTGAATTAAAATTACAGTAATCTGGGGTTTCTTTGGCAAGTGAATGCATAGCTCTAAACCATGATATACAAGGCATTCTTGCATGCTAAAGCCATTAGTGTATCTGAAAAAAGCCAAAACAAACACTTCCAGTATTTTTATATTTCCTCACAGAACTCTCCAAACTCAGTAATAATCAGCAAAGCCCTAAAATCAATTGCTCTTGCAGTCTTACTCAACAGCATATATAGGTGAATGTAAGCAAAAGGTTTCTTACCATTAGATTTCTTCCAAGAAGAGACTGAAGAATTCCACTTTTCCCACAGCCTTTCATTCCAACAACGTTACATCGGAAAACATTTCTTTGAGTCTGTTTCTTCTGCAGGTCTATCTTTTTATCTCGTGTTACTTTGAAAAAAACAGAAATGTTTTTTGCAGGATGTACATGCATGTATGTGAAAACATGAAGTAATTGCCCAGTTACATTAAAATGCACACAAAATAATGAAAAATATGAAATCAAGGATTTTACTTACGCAGAAAGTAAAAAAAGACTGTAAGGGCAAAAAGTGGTTCAACACTATTGTTGAGCAGATTTCTAAATTTAAATTCCTAAGCTGTACCAATTTGTTTCTTTTTATTACCTGTAATTGCTGATGCTTGAGATTCTTCTTCTGCAAGTATTGAATAGCCTAAGTAACCCAGGTACTCCAGGCAACGTTGGACATCTAAATATGTGGTTAGTCTAGCAGAGGGGACAAAAAGAAGTTTCTAAATTGTTAGCATCCATGGTATCAATTCTTTACACCACTGAAATTATTTTTCCCTCCTGTCTCCAGGCTGGCATAAGAAGTGTTCCTGGCACTATGCGATACACAAGGACAAGAGCACTCTGAGGGTGGCAGGTTTACTACTCAGCAAAACACCACAAAGGTAGTACTTGCCAAGGCCTGCCAAGCTACACTATGCTTTTTTTCTTCAGCAAATAATGTTTTCCTCATTTTCTCTATTTTCAGTAGGAAAAAAACCCTCATTATTGAACACCAATATTCATGCCATCTCTAAAGAGCAGAAATAAGTCAGCAAGACTCAAGGAGATTTCTACATTTTGAAGAGACATTTGTTGATAGTTAGCACTAAATAGTGGCCAAATCCTGAGCGGGTTATAACAATTGTCTGAAGATCAGGCCACTGGACGGATGTAGCATCTTGACTGCTTGGGTCAATGTTCAGCTATTACACCTCCACAATCTACAAAAGCATTATTATACTCAAGAGTTCTCAGCTACTAAAATGTAAGGGATCAAACTTACGTCCACTGAGAGAGAAACCCTTGGTATGTAATCCACCCCCTCTCATTTGTACAAACAGTGTTGTTAACATCTGGTCCCCATGGCATATAAGGGAAGACTTTGAACAAATCTTTCAATTCATCAGGAGACAAAGCACAATCTCTATCCTAAAAACAAGCACATGATATCAGACAAAAATCACCGAATCCACCTCTATTGTAACTTAATATTTCCTTGTTGCACATTTGGCAGATTCTAGAAACTGGCTGTAAGAAACTGAGCTGCTTTCTTTATATTCATTGTCCTTTTCTTGTTTTTAAACAAGACTACATATATGAGCTAGTTAAAAAACTGGCAGTACAACCAGAACTGAGCTATAACTGCCAACTCTCCTGGTAGACAGAAACAGAAATGACAGGCTTGACTGTCTATCTTCAGCCAGAGACAGTTTCTGAATGAAATGACAGAATGATAAAAACATACTTTCTGTAAGCAAACTTGCTAGAAAATTAAGGCTCTGAAGGACACACACACTCCAATTAAAAGCTTACCAAATCATGTTTATCAAAAATACTTTGAAGAAATAAATATGCATGATGATTTAATTCTGTTGTGCAGTCTGCAGGAATTCTTAGCCTGTTGTTTGAAAAGAAAAACAAATAAAAGAAGTGTTAAGTGTGTTTATGAAATATAGAGTATTAAAACTCAAAGATTTTTTGAATTACAACAATGGCTATTTGATCTTTGCATTTAGCTTTAATAATTTATCCTTAAATAGAGATCACAGCACATATTTTTATGGGAATCATAAAAATTAGGAGTGTCTTTCTATTACATTATATATAGCTATGTAAAAATCAGGTTTTTGTTTGGTTTCATTGTTTGGGTTTTGTGTTTAGTTAGTTGGATTTTTTTAAACAGAAAAGAAGTGACAGAGGTGGTTGATGCTTAACTTTTTAATTTGGGGATTTTCAAAGGATTTCAAGTGCTATGAAAAGATTGACAAGCCTCTTCTAATTTGTTGCCACACACAATAAGCAACTGCTCAGATTTATGGTCCGGTTTTGTATTAAGAGTTTCTTATGCCAACTTGTACAGAGAGCAGCACATGATTAGGCACAAGAGGCAGTTTTTTTCTTTGTCATTTTCAGTCACATGAAGAATTTGGCTGGCAGATCACAAAGTAAGAGAGATACTTGACATAAGAACATGTTAAACACACTACAACAGTAACACTTTCCATAAACTAAATGCATGTAAGTTGAAGAAAGCTAAAGTAAGTGATACCTACGGAGGAAATAAGTACTCTGGTGTAAGCTCCAAGTCATCATCGTATCCAAAGCGACGTAGAACAGTCCAAGTTGTTTCGTGCCTTCCTCGCTGAATGAAAAGTGTGTGAAGAAAAAGAAAACCTAAAAATCAAATGATGAAATCTTAAGGCCCTGAAGTGCTTTATCTGCTACAAGTATTTTTAATAGACTTGGTTATCAGACTGCAAACAGAAAAAGCCTGAAATAAACATTCAGATTTCGAACCTTCTCAGGTGACTTACAGCATCATCTACACAGACTGAAGGTTCAGAAATAATTTGTAAGTGTCCTCCAAGGAACTGTCCCCTTAAAACAACCCACTTGGTTTTCTGTTGTTTCTTTCTTTCAGAACTAACATTTTAAAGTAAGTTGGCTGTATGAAAAGATAATGATGTTTTCAACACCTTAGAATAGTAAGCCTTAGCAAGAAGCCTGCAGAGTAGTCTCAGGGAAAACTGCCTTTAGTTTTCCTGTACCAAAATAACTGAGTAGGATTTTTGCTTAACACTTTCCAGGGATTAATGAACACTGAGATTTCACTGTTTAGTAAGGCTATGCCTTAAGATTCCCACACTTCACCATTTCTCACGAGTCCTATTACATGTGTAAGCTCCACAAGCAAAGCAGTTACACTGATGCCCAGAAAGAAAATGTTTTTCTCCTTTCATTTTTGCCATATGCTCTAAGCAAATCTGCACAACAGAGCTGTCAGAAGGCTGGCAGACACTACACCTTGCTGACAGGTGTTGCATCCAGCAAGCCTAGAGACAAGATACAGATTGATCTACAAGACAATCTCTTTTGAACCAATTATTTGGATTCCAAGCTCTGTAATAAGAAGAAATACCTTATTTTAGTCACTCTGATATTCCTTAGTTTAATAATTATTTGAAATCATACTGCTTTTGTAGTCTAAAAGAATCAAAGTAGAGATCATATTCCAAAAGACCAGCTTTTTAGGTAAGAATTAACAACTGTATAAAGACAGATCTTTTAAGAGTTATACAAAGGTTACCGTTTAATGTTAATCCATTATCTGCAACTCCATCACTTAGGTGTTTCCTGACTACATTCTTTACATCTTCCAAAGCTTGAGATGGCAGAGGTGTATTAAAACAAATTCTCTAACAAAAAACAAAAAGAGCATGTTAGGACCACTAGCTATTAAGCTGGACAAACAGCATGTTCTGTATGAAATGCAGCCTTAAATGCTCTGATAAAGGACTATTCACTTTCTTAGTGGACATAAAGGTGTACAAACTTCATTTTGTTCCATTTTTAATTAGAAGCACTGAGGCTTGTACATTTAAATAGTTTTTATTTATTTTGCTCTTGAACTAAAACTTGAACAATTGTAAAAAATAAAATTTAAAGCATTTCTGTTTTTACGGATCCACTCTTTTAAGCTGCATTTGACACTTTTAGTATTTAGGCCAAATTCCTTTACAATTCACCTTGCTAGTCTTCCTTCAAAAACAGTAACTTGTTTTTCTAGAATTATATAGTTCAACTACTAAGCATGGTGAAAAGATAAGCAAAAGAGTTACCTGAAAGAAGCTGAGCTCTGCATCACTGAGAGTACCATCATTATCCTGATCAGAAATTCTAAAAATGCGAGTGAGTGCCTTAATACAGGCAGGTTTCATCTAAGGAATAAAAGAAAATTCAGTACCTTTCTGGGCTTGAATATAACATAAAGACACAGAAACAAAAAGCAAGAGGAAACTAAATACTGATCTAGCAAATCTATATCCATAATTTCACATTAAATGTCTTTTTCTTCAATTATTATAAGAGCCTCAAGTTCTTCTCAAGCTGCAGGTGGCACTACTTAGTTAAAAAAAAATCAGTTCTCTAAATTCAGTCTTACTGCTACAAAAAGCTTCAATATAATTAACTGAACGATTTTTTTTCAAAAAAACCCCACTTTTTGATGGGGAAAAAAAAAAGATCCCTTGCAATCCCAGTGTCTTCCAAAAATATACAGCTCTAGAACTACAGTTAGCTCTTTCTAAAGAAGCACACTACCTCTAGTCACCATTTCAATTACAGCTTTAGAAGGCCTCAAACACCAGACACTAAGAATCTTCACAGGGCTTATTCATCTACCAGCAAAGCATAGATCATAGGGACTATCTCTATGACAAAGGAACTGCTGGGATACCTTCCAAGTGAGGGAAGACAGACAGTGGTAATTCTCTCCCAACAACTACAGTGATGAGGGACTCTTCTCTTCATAGAGGTCACCCAGATTGCACAGAGATTGTTTTTTGGGAAACCAAAAAGATTTCAGCACAACAATTTTATCACAACATTACTAACTTGTAAAGACAATTCTCATGGAAGAAATCAAAACAGTGTTATTCTCTAGTTCCCTGCTTAACAAAGTAGTTACGACTGAAGAAATATTTCTACTGCCTAAAACTACACAAGTGTTATCTTCAGAGATTTTATTTGTAATTGCCCATAAAATTTATGTTTTAAAAAAAAAAAGCTCCTTTGTAATATGTTCAACTAACTACCTGTGACACTTAAAAACCAGCAACATCACGTATTTCTTATCCCTTTTGCCGAAGTCTCACTAGATGCTCAGAAAAGTTACTCTCTTTAAATCTGATGAAGTCTGGGGTATTTTCCCTTAAATGGAGTTCCTGTGAAATGTACATTCAAAGGAGAAATTAACTGAACACATGATTTTGTTCACATTAGGTTTGGCTTAAAGCCATTAGCAAAGCTTCTCATTTTACTTAGTTCACACAGGCAACAAAAAACTGTCATCGCTTGCAGTGAAGAGGAAAGACAGATCAGATTAATACAAGGCAGAACAATCACCATGGTTCTGGAATGTACTGCCTGACATTTGGGGGTAGGGTGGTGGTAAGAGAACATACTAAGAAATGCAAAACGCACTGACAAGGAAAGAACAGGAAAGTTACTAAGCTCCCCCCATATTGTATTAGTTCTTAAAGATCTACGTACAAATACCTCTTTCTCCTCTGGGCAATAAAGAGGGCCTGTAGGATGCAGAACAGCTTTCTGTGCATAATAAAATAGCTCAGATATATTCTTCAAGTTTTTGGCTGAACACTGAAAGAGAAATCCTTATATTGATTACCTAGTTTCTCGACTACTTGGCGATTTCTTCTGAAATTTAAGCAAGCATCCAACTTTTAAAGATTAGCCCCCTCTTGTGCGTACAATGCAGTGTTGGAAAAAAGACATCCAGCCCCTGTACCGATTGGGTAATTAACAGAGGGCATCTCACAACTACAGGATGTCACACCAAGAACAGAGAAATCAAAAGGTTGTATCTACTTTGGAAACAAATAATAAAAAAAAAGAGAGAGAATAAAGAGAGGCATATCCACAAATTAATTCAATTTTTAATCCTTTACAGACATCTGTCTGGCATAATATTAAATTTAAAACACTTGCTAAAGGCAAGGATGTGAGGTGACTAAATTGTGAGGAATTTCACAGTAACTTTTGATTGTAGTCTTCTCTAATGAAAAATAACATATAAACTCACATGGACTGATACTTGAACATTTTCTTCTGAACAAAAAAATAATTATCTTCTCTATTAAAAACCTGCCCTACATACATGGCAAATATCTTTTTGTTACTCACACTAACTTCAGAAAGTCTTGCATACCTCTACACAGGTTTCTATCTCTGTATATTGATTCATAATGGGAAGGATAGTTTCCATACTGCTATCTTCCACTAGATCAGACTTGTTTCCAACTAATATAAGAGGCAGCCTGAAAACCAAAAAAAAAAAAGCATAAGAGCTGTAAAGACAGAGAGGTAAAAGGATCTATTTTAATTCAGCTTTCTGTCTCACACCAGAAGCCACTGCATTATCTTCATGATGTAATTAAAGATGACTGGCAGGCAACAGGCAAAACTAACTGACAGTTTTAAGTCAGTTGTTTTGATATACACTTTAGACAGGAAAGTACTTGCTGATAATACAAAAACTACACAGTTAAACACAAAAGTAACTTATCATATTGTTGTTACACAAACCCAGCATCAACAGAAAAGCTATACAGGCCAAACAAAAATAAAAATATAAACACACCTGGTAAAAGGTGCCCATGAAATTGAAAAGAAATAACATTGCTGACATATGTATCAGACCTACATACTTTAAATCTCTTGTTGCTTGGACTTCTTATATAAACTTTAAGTTTAGAATTGGATTTCATGAAACAATTAACATCTTGAACACTGTCCACTGACACCCATCAATGTGCAGCCTAACTCACACTTCTCATCTTTACTTATGCACCTGCTATCTTTGTCTGTCCTTTCATTGATGAGAGGAATCCATCGACTTGTTACCTAAAATGGGATCAAAAACATGAAAAATGAGAAAAATAAAAAGTACTCAACTGTGCACAAGTTTAACTACAACCACTGCTGCTTCTTTCCCAAGAGGGCACATATTTACCCACAAAGGAGGAAAATAAAAACTGGAGTTGAATAATTAGCAATTTTCTCAGATCACTGAAGTGCCTGAAAACTCAGGTGTTGAAAGGGACCAGAAGAAATAATACATCTGTACACTCCCTGACCAACTTGATCTCAAGCAGTGTTTTGCACATTTTAGATATCCAGTACAGTTTTCAGCTGTAATTGCCAACAATAAAGTGCACAATAAAAAGAAATAAAATGTGTTTCCATACCTTATCGATAGAATTCTTGTTGTTAACAGCATATACTATACAAATCACATTTGCCTAAGATGAAAAGAAAGGAAAGGCATGGAAATCCACTGTTTATGGTCTCTGGAGCAACAGAGACAATGAAGAACCATACATAACAACAGCAGAGAAAGAACAGTTGCAACATTAGTCAAAAACTATGTGTCCCTGACCCATTCAAGGTGTTTGTAGCCTGAACAACAGCTTAAACCAAGTAATTTTTATGTTGAGAAGTGCCAAAACGCCTGCCTCGGAGTGTGAAATGCACAGCTTATGCCTGCAGGGAAACCTATGCTACCAAGAAATCTAAACTGAAGAATCACAATTTGCAGCCTCAACTCAAGTACCAATCTAAATGTCAAAAATGGAATGCATGAACATGACAGACTGTGCATAAAATGTACAAAGGTGCTCAAAAAGAACTGGAAATAGGAAACAGAAGGAATTATAAAGTTACCAAGAATCCTGTGCTATCCATTAGTGCAATGGTACAACATGACAGAAAGAAGCTAAAAGGATCTTTCTAGAGTAGGATTATTTCTTTACTGAAACTGTCAATCCTTTGGCCTTCTGATTACAAGTTACTTAGGTTCTGCCCTTCCACTGGGAAGGAAAAAGCTTAAGATCTATCACCAACACAGTGGCAGTACCTACTTTGCTTCACTAAAGGAAGGTTTACTATAGCACAGGGCACAAAACAAAACACCAGGCAAGAAAAAGCAAGAGAGGTTTTAATTTAAACTGGAGTCCAACTAATGCAGGGAACTTTGAAGGGAAAGCTTTCTCCAAAAGCAGAAACTATTTCCTAGTAAACACTAAAACACACTTACCTGTGATATTTCATGGTAAAGCTGCTCATCACTTTGCTCTGCTTCTGCATTCAACAGAATAAGCCATTTGTTAATGCTAAACATTTTTGCAAACAAAACTGAAAAACTTAAGAAACTGAACTAGGGTATTTCACTGTACTCAGCAGAGCCTGTGAAAGCTCATTATTTAAATGTGTCTTTATAAAATGCACCAAAGTGCTTCTGCTACAGCAATAGCAAAACTGATCCACTAACTCACAAGACAGGAACAGGTCTCTTGCACAGAAGTCTTTCAGCAGCTATTTTAAAGAGGAATAATTGCATCTGTAGACAGGTTCTCTCTGGAATAAGTCACAGTTTGCATCCCCCTACATTTTTCTAGCTGTGTAGCAGCTGCATGTATTTATCACAACATAAGAGCCTGTTTATCTAGTCAGTAAGGTCATGAGATTAGAATATATTGAAAAAGAAAAAAACAACATATGAAACTGACACAAAAGGATAGGGTAACCAAATGGAGACATTTGGAAAGAGGTAGAATATAAGGTATGTCCAGTCTCCTGCCTCATAGTAAACTCTTTGCTGAAATAATGAAAAATAGTTTTGAATGCCATGAAAGTTCCCACCTAGGTCTGCACCTGTAAATGTGTCTGTCAGACACATTTCTTCACTGGAGTTTCTACTTCAGTCTTTTCCTACATGTAGCTTTCGTCCCACACCAGTATGACTGTTAAAGAGGCTACTGACTTAGAGACAATTCCATACCCAGTCAGGCAAACAGTAACAGTCCTTACCTGAATAATCCACTATGTGGGTTGGCACTCTTTCAGGGGTGACATCAGCTGGAATGGTGATCTCTTCAGCTCGTGCTGGAACCTGGAGTTGAAACAGGAAGAAAAAGCCTTTAAAGATAATCCAGAAAATCCAGATGGTCAAAAAAAGTTGTATACTGTAACACATCTGAGAATAAGTCATCTTTAAATAAAACAGGCTACCAGTAGTTCAAGAACTTCTGTGGGGTTTTTTTGCAATATACTGAAGGTCACTGCTACCTTCTCATGTTTATTAGTCTACTTACTGAGGAAGGAACTTCCTGCAGGCTTTACAAGAAAGCAGTGTTGCTAAGGAATTCAATTAATGCTTCTATAAACTTCAAATTCACTAGACTCAACCACCTATAGAGAATTATTTTAATAGTTAAAGCTGTGAACAAAATTTGAATTGCAATTTACGTTAAACAAAAATGTCATAAATAAAAGTTCTAAAATTTGGGAGGGGGGTTATACAAAATTCAACCAATTACATCAAAGAGCTACATATTCTTTAGCAGGAGAGTAATATCAGAGTTTGCATGCCATTACTGACAAATTAAATACTGTTTAATCTATGTTTAAACATCTAAATTTTTGCAAAAGAAACCCTGTTCTTCTCCCACTGAAATCAGTACAAGAACTATCCCTGCAAACAGCACATGAACTGTTGAACAAAAAATAAAAAATTCAAGATATGGTAAACAAGTATGGCAGACAAAATACAAGTCTCAATTTTTACATAATCATAACCTGTCAACTTCTTTGTTTCTGATAGAATGCTCAACATTAAGTTCAGAAAAGCCTGCAAAGCAAAACATGATGCTAATAAAAAGTGTGTTCTGCAAAATACTAGCCATGATTGCTGGCCATTTTTTCCAGAGAACACTAGTCCACAGTCAGGATGAATCATCTTAAACCTAATTTCAATGCAATGTTCCTGCACAGCTATTTATTTCCTTTTACATGGCTGACCCATGACACTTTTGTCTTCTTTTAATAAAAAAGGAAAAGAGAAAAGCCAATCACTGGAAGAACAGCTCTTTGTAAAGCTTCAGGCTCTACTAACATCTTCATCAAGAATGATTACTGATAATTCTCAGTATATTAAAAACTATTTCAAAGCCTGAAGTGTCTGTTACACATACCCATGTAGATCTGAACTGCATGACTGACCTGCAGGAATTGTACACGTTCCCTTTCAGCAGTTTCTATAGGACACAATATTTTTTTAAAGTTATTTCTGTAATTTCAGGCAGATTTTGTTCTGTATAAATGATATTTTTTCTCTCAATATGAGTTTAGAGAAATATTCTAGATTATACGAGAGGTGAATAGTTTTACAATTCATTAAATACATCAACACAACCTGTCAAAGGAACGGGTCCCTGAGCAGCTTAAGGACAAACTGGAGTTCCTTTTCACCTTCAAGGTTGGGAACTAAATTCAGTCATGTTAACAATCTGATCTTGACTCATGAACTGTGGTAACCAACCAATTTGCATTAAACACAACACAGTGTAGACTCAAAGAGCAGCACATGATGTCTATTTTAAGACTTGTGATCAGAAGAAATAAACATTCATGTCTACATGTAAAAAGTTTAACTATTTGCAGCAGCTGCAGTTCTTTTTTTATGGTATAAAGCAAAATATGTACTGTTTGTTTTAAATAATAAAATGTCGAAGTGGCTTTACTTCTATTCTGGAAGAAAGCAGGAAGAGTTTTCAGCATTATTTTCAAGAGTCAGGAAAACATTCTTCAAAAACAGAAATAAAGGCAATGTCTCAGTTACAAAAATGGGTAAGCTACACCGTGTGACTTATCAATTCCTCATTCTCATTCAGTTCTCAATTTACCTGCTATTTCAATACAACATACACACAAAAAAGAGACTTGCCTCTTTCAGCACCTTCCCCTTTACAAGTCCCTACAGTTTCAACTGCTTAAGAAAACCTAACATTCCTCAAATAAATATAAAAAATACTTGAACTAACCACATGAAAAACAAGGAACTTAGATAAAATTTAAATTCTTAATCTTCACTTAGTGATATATTTAAACTAACCCACATGACTCTTCCAGAAGTCATCACTGCAGTTTTAGACTTTAGGAAACATTATTGTACAGCAGAGCTTATTAACTTACTCTTAAATAAAAATGCAATGAGATAGAAATAAAGTATAGAAAACAAATGAGGATGCTCTACCTCTTCTGGAAACTCTTCACTGACAAGTGACATAATTAGTGATGTCTTCCCAACTCTGGCTGCAAAAAGCATTAAAAATAGGAATTAGGTAATTTGATTTTATTATACACAATAGTGGCATCCCATCCTATAATGGGAAGTATTTTATAAACATTTTCAAAATCACCATATTACAAGCTTTTTATCTGTTCTTTAAACATACTAAATATGGATGACACAAATTCACTCACAGTCCTTTTATCATAAAACCATAGGTTCCGTTTTATACTTCTGCATTCCATCCAGAAAGGAATAAAAACCTGCTCTGTCTTATACAAAAGAATTAGCTTGTTTTAAGTTTAATACAGAACAGTTCAGCAAACAAACAAAAATTCAAAACAAACTGGAAATATATTAATACAACTTAATAAAGGGAAACCAAAAAAAAAGCCCAGAGAGAGAAATTTGTGAATGAAAGTACTATTTTTGTAGTATTTTTGATTCAGTGATTGTACTTCAGTCCTAAACTTCCAAGTATAAGAGCTGGGCAAGAAGACATGGCTCTATCATCAATGGACAAAGTCTCCAAAATCTAGTTTGACCACTTTGAAAGTTCAAGAGCATAATCTCCTTGATAAAAATGAGCTGTCCCCCACAAAACGTGAAGTAAAACCTAAACCATCAACACTTCTACAGTTAGTTTTCTTAATCCAAGAAGAAGATCATCTCTGTTTCAACATTCAACTGTATTCAATGAAATAAGTGACTCAGACTACCTGCAAAGTTCAGACTTCTTATATCACAGTTGGATTGCTTGGTTTTGAGAATCTTTAATGTGAGCATTTGAAATCAAGAGTTGGTAACTCTTCTCAAGTTTCCCCTCTCTCTAAAAACCTTAATCTGTCAACTTTCTGCTCCTTGAAAGACTGTTACTTTTTATTTGTTTTTGAGACATTTCTTGAAAAACAAAACATTCAAATACTGGCTAGGATTGTCTATTTCTGACAGCCCTCAATTCAAGCAAAAAACTATTTCCTCCTAGGCACACAGCATCTGTGCTAGCTTACATGTTTTACCCACCAAGACACTGCTCACCATTGGTCAGAACCTGCACCAGGTTCCTACTGAAACAACATCAAACGTCACCAATCGACACAAGTTGTTTTGCTGATATAATTGCATTTACGCTTGTCTATTTAATTGCATTTAATTCTGAATACACAAAGAAGAAGAGATGAAATTGTAAGACTGCTTGCTTTTGTGCAGAAGATGGTATTACTGAACTGATGATCTAGACAAAGTACATTCAACTCACCCAAGACTATTTCTGGCTTAATAACAAAAGGCCTCTGTCATTCAGAAGTAAAAGCTTCTCTTCACCATGTGAAGTTAAAAAGTAGTTATTACAGAATTATGAGAAGCAAAGACAAAGTTATCTTGAGGAGGAAGGCTTTTGTTTTCCTTAGGGCAAAGAGTTGTAGATTTTTCATCTGGAGTATTATCCAGAGAGCAATAAGATACAAGTTCCTTACCAGCAACTTGGTTGTGTTCTCATCAAAGATACTCACATGAGCTGAAATAATAACGTACACTGCCAGGTGTCCTCCTGCATACACTACATCTTAAGTTTCATCCTGACAGAATCAAAATAACTTAAAAACCTCTCCTGCTTCCATAGATGAAGAGTTCCCTGATAGACAAGTAAAGTTATGAGATACTTACTGGAAGTGGCACAGCATATTTTGCATCTGACCACATCAGCTTTAATTTGAAACAGTGACAAAACGTGTGGGCTTTGAGATATAGAAACTCATTTCATTAATGTTATATGACTGAAAATATAAAATTATGGACTCACAGCTGGCAAAGATGCTCAGTATTTACAAGCTTCTGATAAACTTCCGAATGTTATAGAGGAGGGTTTTTTAAAATGAAAATCCATGGATTCAAGTGTAGCCACTTGGTTTATTTTGCTTGAATCTAGGTCAGCCATTGGCCTTTCCAATTCTGTTTATAGTCTTGCAAATAACAGCCTAAACAATATCAGCTGACTAAGATGAAAAAAAAAACCAACAGCATAGCACTTTGTGATAATTAACTCATCTTTTTCCTCCAAATAAGTCTTTCACATCATGCTACACAAAATAACTTGCTGAACATATTCTGAAAATTATTGGCTATTAAAAACTGATGTTTGCACCCCGGATAGTAGGACTAAAACAACATTAAACCCAAAACCTAGACCACTGGGAATGAAAAAGGCTATGTTTCTGAACAGGCTTAAAATAAAAGGTTTTCACATTATATTTCAGTCAGAACCTGATACTTTCAGTGGAATGCACTGTGAGCCTAACTATCAAATCAAAGTATCTATTATACCTGTACTTAAACCACAGCACAGAGCCAGTTCAGAACACACAATTGCCAAAGAAAGGTAGGTAAATTAGGTATATACTCCAAAATTAAATTCAATTGTATATTCAAGCACACAAATACATTCCTAAATAAACTGTGCCTTGTAAAACTAGCCAAACACAAGCTTAAAGAGTTAACTCTTTCTGCCTAGTGTTCCTGAGCATTCCTCTCTAAAGAAGTCATAGAGGACCTTTCTAGGCATTAGAGACAGAGCCAACCTGCACTATAAACTGCATGAACTATAAATATGTATGTGGCATTCAACAATCAGGAAAGCTTTGTTTGTAGTACTACATTCTTAGTATAATTACGTAATTTTACTAATTACACTTAGTAATTACTCTGTATTCTTTTCCTGTGAGGAACTTAAGCACACTTCACAAACTAACACCACAGAGCCTCCTTGCTGCTATTTACATCAGTAAGAAGCTGCATCTTGGAACACCCAACCACTTATTTGGGTACCGATGTGTGAACTTAAAAGACAGAACGTTGTGAAGGTAATGAAAAAACACTGACCCGCTGTAACTCTGGCATGCATGAAAGTAGGTGCTGATTATTCAAGGTCATACAGTAAGTTAACAGCAGAAACAAGGACCTGGACTCCCTGGCCCTGTCCTACCCACAAATCCACAACACCCAGCTGATAACTGCCTGGCGCGTATCTGCATAAACACAGAGATGTTTAGGATTTCCAAACGCAGTAAATAAAAAATATTCAAGTTCAGTTTACACAAACACACACACAAAGTTTAAACAGTCTAATACAGGGTAAAGAATTTCATCCCTGTTTCACCTCCAGGGACGCCCAGGGAGCACAACAACTCTGAAAACTGACTTCCAGGCTGGCAGCTCGGTGCCCAGCGAAGGGCGGCCCGAAGCCGGGAGCTCCCGGCCGGTCGCCCCCTCAGGCTGCCGGGCCCGCCCCCCCCCCCGCCGCAAGCCCGCGG